AGAGTCATTTTTAGAGTAAGAAGTGATTGTTGGTCTATGCCTTTACAAGAAACCTTAGGACCAGTATGCTTTTAGCTGTACGGAGATTGCCTTTCCTACCCGCTGTTTACCAAAAGCCTTTTCGATATAATCCTGCTTAAGGTAAAAGTTACTGTTTTTGCATTGCTTTGTAAATACCGAATACCATAACCATTACCACATCCTTCTCGCTTGCGAGATGTAAGTTACCCTTGTGAATTTTACATAGAATATTTATGATATATTTTTAAAATAGAAGTTTTCATTGAAAAACTTTAATGCAGCTCAGAGCTTAAATTGTATATGAAAAAATTCACAAAGTTAGAGCAGTTTTATAATAGAGAACAGTAACTGTGGCTAAGGTTTACTTGTAATTTAATTTTTTAACTTTCAGATAAAATGCAAAATTCATTCATACAAATATTTACTGTACTTATTATATTTTCTTTTGCTTAACAATATTTTTAAGCATTTAAGATTTCAAATTTCCTAATAATTATTGTGATTACCTAAGATATACTCATTCACTTCTTTTGAGCAAAGGAAGAGGAAGATTGACACATGCTGGCTTCTTTTTATTCAGGTAAACTTTTCATTGAAATATAACATTAATATAGAAAAATGCATAAAATCATATATGTACAATTCAATTTTTACAAAGTGAACACACGTTCGTGACTACCACCCAGACCAAGAAATAGAACACCAGCACCAAGAAGTCCCTCTGTGCTTCCTTCTAATCACTCCCACAAACCAAACATAACCACTCCCTCCCTATTTCTGTCACCCATTGATTAGCTTTGTTTTTGAACTTGTAATTTATAAATATAAATTCTACTTAGAAATCACATAGAATTTGTATCTGGCTTCTTTTGTTCTTCATGAAATTCACTTGTGTTGTTTTTTTTTTTTTGAGATAGAGTCTTGCTTTGTTGCCCAGGCTAGAGTGAGTGCCGTGGCATCAGCCTAGCTCACAGCAACCTCGAACTCCTGCGCTCAAGCAATCCTACTGCCTCAGCCTCCCGAGTGGCTGGGACTACAGGCATGCGCCACCATGCCTGGCTCACTTGTGTTGTTGAATGTAGTACTAGTTCATTCAATCTCACTGCTGCACAGTATTCCATTAAGTAAACATGTTAAAATTTATTTATCCATTTTATTGTTGTTGGACATTTGGGTTAATACCAGTTTTTGACTTTTCCAAATAATGCAGCTATGGAGTTTCTTGTAAATTTTTTTGGTATGTGTATATATATATATATATATATATATATATATATATTACTACTGGGAATATACCTGAGAGTGAAATTGCTGGATCAAAAATATAAATATATTCAGATTTAGTAGATATTACCAAATTATTTTCCAAAGTTATATGAACTTATATTTCCACCAGCAGTGTATGAGAGTTCCTACACATCCTCACCAACAACTGGTGTTGTCAACATTAATGGTTTTAACCATTCTAGTGGATTTGTACTAATATTTCATTGTGATTTAAATTTGAATATTCATAATGACTAATGAGGTTAACCACCTTTTTCATATGTTTAGTGGCTATTTGGTTATTGTCTTTTGTGGAGTGCCTGCTCCAGTTTCTATGATTATCTTTTTCTTACCAATTGTAAGAGTTCTTTATATATACTGTCATATGTGCACTGTAAATATTCTGTGCTTTGCTTTTTCACTGTAAATGCATCTTTTGATGAAGAGATGTCTTGAAAGAGAAAGTCATAATTTTACTGTAGTCCAATTTATATGTATTTGCCCTGATTTTTCTGTTTTCTTGTGTCCCATGGAAAAAAAATACTTGCCTACACTTAAGTCATACTGATATTCTCCTATTTCAAATTTCCTTTGTGATTTGTTGATCAATAGGTCTGTTTGAAGAGCACTGCTTAGTTTCCAAATATATATTTTATAGTTACCTTTCAGTAAGTAATGTCTAGCTTAATCCCACTGTAGTCATAGAACAATATTCTCAATGATTTCAATCCTTGAAATTTGTTAAGGATTGCTTGATGATCTAGCATACAGTCTCTTTTAGTACATGTTCCAGGTATACTTGAAAAGAATAAAATTTTGTTCTTGTTCAGTACAGCATTCTATTTATGTTAACTTAGTCAAATTTGTTAATCATGTGTTCAAAACTCTCACAGCTTTACTGATTATTTTATGTGCTTGTTCTATTTGTCATTGGGAGAGATGTGTTAGTCTCACACCATGACCATGGATTATCTATTTCTCTTTTTAGTTTTGTCAAATAAAGTTGTCCTTGATATACGCAGGGGATTGGTTCCAGGACCCCTGCGAATACCAAAATCCACACATGCTCATGTCCCACAACTGGCCCTCCATATTCGTCAGTTTTACATCCCACAAATACTGTATTTTCAATCTGTGTTTGTTTGAAAAAATCTGCACATAAATGGGCCCACACAGTTCAAACCTGTGTTATTCAAGGGTCAATTGTATTCTTCATTTATTCTGAAGCTATGTTATTAGGTGCATGTAAGTTTTAGATTAGTATATATTCCTGATAGAAATTACCTTTTTATTACTATGAAAGATCTCTCTTTATCTCTATAAGCTTTAAGGTCATTTGGCCTGACATCTGTATAACTACATCAGCTTTCACTTATTCATTCTTTGAATGCTATAGATTGCTCCATTAGTTTACTTTCCACTTTTCCATATCCTTATATTTAAGGTATATGTCTTTTATAAACAGAATATAGTTGGTTTGGGGGTTTATTTTTTTTTGACATCCACTCTGACAATCTTATCTTTATAAATCAATCCATATACATTTAAATGTAACTACCAATATATTTGGGTTTATATTACCATCTTACTATTTGTTTCCTATTTTGCATTCTTTTGGTTTTTTTATTATTATTCTATTTCTCTCCACTATAGGCTTCTTTTTTTTTTTTTTTTTTTGAGACAGAGTCTCGCTTGTTGCCCAGGCTAGAGTGAGTGCCGTGTCGTCAGCCTAGCTCACAGCAACCTCAAACTCCTGGGCTCAAGCAATCCTGCTGCCTCAGCCTCCCGAGTAGCTGGGACTACAGGCATGCGCCACCATGCCGGCTAATTTTATATATATATTAGTTGGCCAATTAATTTCTTTCTATTTTTATAGTAGAGATGGGTCTCGCTCTTGCTCAGGCTGTTTTCGAACTCCTGACCTCGAGCAATCCGCCCGCCTCAGCCTCCCAGAGTGCTAGGATTACAGGCGTGAGCCACCGCGCCCGGCTCACTATAGGCTTCTTTGTTACACAGTCTTTTTTTTGTTTTTTTTTTTGAGTCAGAGTCTCACTCTGTTGCCCAGGCTAGAGCATCAGCCTAGCTCACAGCAACCTCAAACTCCTGGGCTCAAGCAAGCCTCCTGCCTCAGCCTCCCAAGTAACTGGGACTACAGGCATGCACCACCATACCTGGCCAATTTTTTCTATATATATATTTTAGTTGGCCAATTAATTTCTTTCTATTTTTAGTAGAGACGGGGTCTCACTCTTGCTCAGGCTGGTCTTGAACTCCTGAGCTCAAGCAATCCTCCTGCCTCGGGCCTCCCAGAGTGCTAGGATTATAGGCGTGAGCCACTGCACCCAGCCTACACAGCCTTTTAATATTTACTGTTTATCCTATTAGATGCCTACTTGGTTTCTTAGACTTTATTATAAATTAGTACTTTTACCACTACCCAAACAATGCTAAGACTTTAGAACATTTTTTTTAACCTACCACCTTTTATATTTTTGTCACACATTTTAATTCTAGATATATTTAAAACCCGGCCGGGCGCGGTGGCTCAAGCCTGTAATCCTAGCTCTCTGGGAGGCCGAGGCGGGCGGATTGCTTGAGGTCAGGAGTTCGAAACCAGCCTGAGCAACAGCGAGACCCCGTCTCTACTATAAATAGAAAGAAATTAATTGGCCAACTAAGATATATATATAGAAAAAATTAGCCGGGAATGGTGGCACATGCCTGTAGTCCCAGCTACTTGGGAGGCTGAGGCAGCAGGATTGCTCGATCCCAGGAGTTTGAGGTTGCTGTGAGCTAGGCTGACGCCACTCTAGCCTGGGCAACAAAGCGAGACTCTGTCTCAAAAAAAAGAAATACATATTCATTGTGGAATGACTAAATTGAGCTAATTAACATGTATGTTACCTCACATACTTATTTTATGTAGTAAGAATAATTAAAATCCACTCTCTCAGCAATTTTCAATTTTCATGAACTTGTACTTATTTTGAAACTCTACTATAATCTCACGGACAACTGAAAGTATATTGCTATAATGAGACCAGGTATGGTGGCTCATGCCTATAACCCTAGTACTTTGGGAGGTCAGGGTGGGAGGACTGCTTGAGACCAGGAATTCGAGACCAGCATGAACAAGAGCGAGACCCTATCTCTACAAGAGAATAGAAAAGTTAGCCAGGCCTGGTGGCATGCACCTGTAGTCCTAGCCACTCAGGAGACAAGGCAGAAGAATTGCTTGAGCCCAGAAATTTAAGGTTGTAGTGAGCTATGATGGTGCCACTGCACTCTAGCCTGGGTAACAGAGCAAGACTCTGCCTTTAAAAAAAAAAAAAAGTATATTGCTATAATGAAACTTGCCTCTGCAGCATTTGACTTCAGATTGAGAGAGGAGTACATACCGTATTCTAGTATCTAATAATTCCTTAATCATTGCCACAACTTCATCATCTTCTTCAGATCCTAGAAATAATTACATATTAAAAAATATCAGTAGTAGAAATTTTATTTCTATGCAAATATTAAAACAGGATGGTTTTATCTTCATGGCTCAATAAAAACATAAAAGCATAGAACATGTAACTTGGTACAGTGATATATTTGGGGGGAATCGAAGGAGAATCACACATTTGATTCTCTGAAGGAAAATTAGAAATACTGATCAACTCAACATTTAGTGATGAAGGTAAGCATACCGAAATACCTTAATCTACTAATCATTTCAGGGTCTCAAATTTTTAGCCAGTAAATTTGTAAAATGTTCATGGTTCTAAAGGATTGAAAAATAGCAGAGAAAAGAGACTGAATTTTGATGGCAATGGCAACTTTGAGACAAAAAGGCACACCTACTTTCTAAGTTAAGTTACATCTTTAGTTTCTCATTTGAGTGAGAAAGAACCTCTCATTTGAGGTTTTTAAGAAGACAATAATACTAAATGTAGATGTAAGCTTTCTGGAAATTTCTGAAATGTTCTATAAATCTTCTGAGTAAAAAGTTAGTTTTTCATTTTTATTTTGCTTTGTTATTGTTTTTTGTAAGGTTATATACTTATCTTCACTAATGCTTTTCTATGAGTTTGGGTTTTTTTGAGAAATTTATTTACCTTTGAGAAAATTTAAAATTCAGAAATTTCAAATTACACTATAACAAACACTAGATTCTGGCAACCCCATAAATAACAATATTAATATCAAATTATATTAACTTTGAGTCTTTTTAAGTAAAAGAATTAAGACATAAAAAAGCTAAAATTCTCTTAGATCAGCAAACCTAAGTTCAATTCTTCACTATTCCTTCTATAGACAACCACTTTTCATGAGTTTAGTGTATATCTTTCTAGTACGTTTACATTTACATGTGTAAATTTATACAAAAGAGACCATACCATACACGCTTTTCTATACCTTGCTTTTTTCTATATAACTTAACCTAAAGGTCTTTTGATATCAGGATGCACAGATGTGCCTCAATATTTAAAATAGGTGCATATTAACTTTTGTATAGATTTGTCTTTGGCCAGTTTCTTGATTATTTTAGTTGTTACGGTTTGCTGCTAGTTCTAACAATCCAGCAACATATTTGCTTGTATAAACATTTATCAGTGTACTTTTGCAAATATATTTATTTTTTTATTTATTTATTTTTTTTATCAGTGCCCGGCAGCGAAGGAATGCAAATATATTTATGAAATAAATTCCTAGTCATGGGACATTTGTGTCAAAAGGCTTATGTATTTTTAATTTTGGTAGCTGTAGTCAAATTACTCTCAAAAAGTTATAATAATTTTACATATGTATCCATCAAGAACAGATGTAACTGTTTCATGTGTTTTTAAAAATGTGCATGAATGGTACATTTGTAAATGCACATACACTTTAATTTTCCTTTTTCACTTAATATTTTCTTTTATATCTTTTCATGTTGATAGCTCCCACTCTAGTTTATTCCTTTTAATCTGCTGATATAGTTAAAAAATATTTCAATGAACATGCTTCTATATGGTGCCTTGTACACATTTGTAAGATTCTTTTAGGGTATATACCTAGAAGTACAACTGTATCATCTAAAGATGATCATACAAATGTTTGTGCATATATGTATATACATTTATAAACATACAGTTTTTATGGTAAAGTTTTTTAAGTTGACCAATTGTTAGAACAAATGAGAGTGTTAAACAAAGTTGACAGATAAATAAGATCAATATACAAAAATTAGCTGGGTGCAGTGTCACATGCCTATAGTCTCAGCTATTCATGAGGCTGAGCTAGGAGGATTACTTGAGTCCAGAAATTTGAGGTTGCAGTGAGCTATAATCTAGCCTCTGCACTCTTAGCCTGGGATACAGAGCAAGACCCTGTCTCTAAACAAAACAAAACAGATAAATCAAATTTGCACACATCTCTGGAAGCAGAGAGGGAAAAGGAATGGGGTTGTAGGTATTTTAGCTGTATCTTTAATATTTTATTTAAAACAGGTCTGAAGCAACTGTGGCATAAAGTTAACATTTATAGTATCTGAGTGGAGGATAAATGGGTGAACATTATGTTATGTTTGGCATGTTTGGAAAATTTTACAATTAAAAAATTAGTTTTGTGGCTGGGCGTGGTGGCTCACGCCTGTAATCCTAGCACTCTGGATGGCGGAGTCGGGCAGATTGCTAGAGATCAGGAGTTCAAAACCAGCCTGAGCGACACCCTGTCTCTACTAAAAATAGAAATAAATTAATTGGCCAACTAAAATATATATATACAAAAAATTAGCTGGGCATGGTGGCACATGCCTGTAGTCCCAGCTACTTGGGAGGCTGAGGCAGTAGGATCGCTTGAGTCCAGGAGATTGAGGTTGCTGTGAGCTAGGCTGATGCCACAGCACTCATTCTAGCCTGGGCAACAAAGTGAGACGCTGTCTCAAAAAAAAGAAAAAAAATTAGTTTTGCATGGTAGATTCAATTTATATACAAGTTTTCAAAAATGAGATAACATAGTATATATGAAGTTTTGCCCCCTCTGGAACTGGCTTCAGGGCCAAATATGTTAAATGATAAAAATCTATATTCCTATGACTTCTGAAATCAAGGCAAATGTAACGAAAATAGAAAAGTCTAATAAAAAAGACAGATATTGATTACTGAACACAACATGTTACCTGCTTCTCCTGAAGATGTTTCCTCAGTAACTAAGGGTAAGCCAGATGCAAAGAAGTCCATGATTGTTGCATAAATATCTGGTTTCAGTAAATTCCAGTCTAATTCTTCATTTTCCTATAAGCATTTAAAGGAAAATGCCACATTTCCAGCAAAGGGCAAAAACAAATACAGAACAATTCCTTGTATCTTTCAAGAATCTTTTCCTATACACATCCTATACAGTACTATGCAACAGCACCCATTTCTGGAGAATACACATCAGTTCCAAATCTTAAGGGTCTCACTTAAATGACTTTCAGAAGATAAAATCTTAGAACATCCCCCATTCATTCATTCATCAAACTTTTATTAAGTGTGCTATATATATCATACTCTGTATAGGGGATAATGATTAAAATGACAAAAATATATTTTTTCATGATGTAAACAGAATTAAAATAGTAAATGAATTTTCTGTCTTTAAAGAGGACAAATAAAGAGTCTCATTCTCTTAAAGAAAATAAGATATAACTGCTTGATCAAATATACAGGACATCCCACAACTATTCAAAAAATTCAACTTACATATATTACTTAAAGAGTATTAAAGAAATTCAGGCCGGGCGTGGTGGCTCACGCCTGTAATCCTAGCACTCTGGGAGGCCGAGGTGCAAGGATCACTCGAGGTCAGGAGTTCAAAACCAGCCTGAGCAAAAGCGACACCCCGTCTCTACTAAAAAAATAGAAAGAAATTAATTGGCCAACTAAAAATATATAGAAAAATTTAGCCAGGCATGGTGGTGCATGCCTGTAGTCCCAGCTACTTAGGAGGCTGAGGTAGTAGGATCGCTTGAGCCCAGGAGTTTGAGGTTGCTGTGAGCTAGGCTGATGCCACAGTACTCTAGCCAGGACAATGGAGTGAGACTTTGGAGACTCTGTCTCAAAAAAAGAAAGAAATTCAATGATGCAACTGTAGAACCATGGCTACTCTGCTGGAGGACTTATGAACTGTCAACAAGACTGGTATCCTTAAGAATGATTCCATATGTATTTCACCTGTATACCTGACCAACTAGTTATTTCCATAAATAAAAAGGTAGGATTATTAAACACCTAAGTAGTACTAACATCTAAAAAGAGAAAGGTAACATGTTTTGTTTTTAGTTTTTTAAAGGGAAGTTCTTTAGGAGGAAAAACTATTAGATGCAGTCTATTTAGACTATCATGGTGCTATTAACTAGAGACTTTGCTTAAATACCATTAAAAATTGAGTCAACATGGATTAAAGGGACTATATTTGTCATGAGTTAAGAACCAATTTAGACACTCTGGGAGGCCAAGGCAGGAGGATCACTCAAGGTCAGGAGTTCAGAACCAGCCTGAGCAAGAGCAAGACCTCATCTCTACTAAAAATAGAAAGAAATTAATTGGCCAAATAAAAACATATAGAAAAAAATTAGCCAGGCATGGTGGCGCATGACCGTAGTCCCAGCTACTCGGGAGGCTGAGGCAGAAGGATTGCTTGAGCCCAGGAGTTTGAGGTTGCTGTCAACTAGGCTGATGCCATGGCACTTTAGCCTGGGCAACAGAGTGAGACTCTGTCAAAAAAAAAAAAAAAGGAAAAAGACAAAGTAAGATAAATTAGCACTGCTACAAATATAAGAGTAAAACTAGTGATATGTCTTAGTAATTGGGAAAGGAAACAAGTTCTATGTAATATTATAATAAATTATTAGGAAGATGGATCAGAATGCCACCTCAATCTTTAGTAAATGGTAGGCTCCACTAAGTAGTAAAAAAAAAGAAGAAAAATATTCTGAATTTGTCTGAATGAAAAAAAAGATAGCATATAAGCTGCAAATATACATATACATTTAGGAAAAAACCCACAAATGATATATAAACAAACCTATGAATTAACAATTACAGAAAGGAAACAGGCAATTGCTGAAGATGTCAAGTAAATATGATAGTCCATAATGAGAAAGGTTATTGAAAGAAAACAAATAAAATTCACTATTCTATTAAATATCAAATATTAAATATGTTATGGAAGTATTATTGCAGAATGGTGGAATTTGTACACATATATGTAATTTGTTTTACATATGTGTGTATATATATCTCAACAGAATGAATGAATATATCTCCTTTCAAAGTGGGCACATATATCATGGCATCTGACATATATCTATGTAATTTGTTTGTTTAATAATAATTAGTAAAACTAATACTCAGAAGCCCAAATTATAGTCCTGCCAAGGTTAAGTCTCACTACAGGCTAGATTTATAATCTTGGACACTGCATTTAACCCTCTGAAACTCAAGTTTTTCTCTTTAAAAAAAATGAGAGACCTGAACTATAGTTAATTTTAACTAGAAAATTCTATTAAATAATTAACTTGAGAAATGTGAGAAGTAAACTTCATTTGAGATTTTTAATTATATGTAAAAAACATAAAATGTATTAAGAATATAAATTCTAGAGAGGGGTATTAGACTCAGAAAAAAGTAAAAGTACTTCAATTCTTATTTTATATAATCCTACGTTTACCTTAGTGACAGTGATAAAATCTGGTCCAAAGAAGACACTTTTTACTCCTTCAATCCTAAACAACTGCCTGTGAATAAAGAAACAATAAGACAATAAAATCTTTTATAATGGAAAAGTTTAAATATATATAAAAGTAAAGAGAGGCCGGGCGCGGTGGCTCACGCTTGTAATCCTAGCACTCTGGGAGGCCGAGGCGGGTGGATTGCTCAAGGTCAGGAGTTCAAAACCAGCCTGAGCGAGACCCCGTCTCTACTATAAAAATAGAAAGAAATTAATTGGCCAACTAAAATATATATAAAAAATTAGCCGGGCATGGTGGCGCATGCCTGTAGTCCCAGCTACCCGGGAGGCTGAGGCAGAAGGATCACTCGAGCCCAGGAGTTTGAGGTTGCTGTGAGCTAGGCTGACGCCATGGCACTCACTCTAGCCTAGGCAAGAAAGCGAGACTCTGTCTCAAAAAAAAAAAAAAAAAAAAAAAGTAAAGAGAAAAGTAGAATTTCCATGTACCCATGTACCCAGCTTCAACAATTATCAACTCATGGCCAATTTTATTTTCTTACCCAATGATCCAGCAATCCCATGCCTAGGTATGTGCCCAAGAGAAATGAAAATATATGCTCCCCAAAGACTTGTACATGAATCTTTATAGCAGCTTTACTTGTATTAATAATAGCCACAAAAAAAAAAAATCTAGACATATCCTCCAACTGGTGAATGAATAAACAGACTGTGGTATATGCATACAATCAGTTACTCATCATTCAACAAATATTTGACATCTACTGAGTGCCAAGCACTGTATGATAGTACAAGGTATACAATGATAACCAAGATAGACTGGTCTCTGTCCTAAGGAACCTTACATTCTAGCTTATAACAAAAAATTCCCTACTAACACAGAAAGAAAACAAGATTAGTTTTGACTGAAGATAAATTTTGTAAATCCAGGAGATACACTATTTTCAAAAGACTAATTTGAAAAAGGCTTTTGCCAACTGAACATCTATCAGACATAATCTCTAACAAATCTGTAACTGAGTTCATCAAGGCTTTTTTACCTTTACATTTTTAAAATATAAATCTGTGAACTCATTCTTGATGCAAACATTTCAAACAATACATATAGTTTAAATGCCCCTCGACTACCCCTCCTGAATCCTCAGTTATCAGTTTGGTGTGCATTCTTTCAGATCCTTTTGTCAATGCATTTGTTCTATGCTTTTTGTTTTTATATACATAATATATTGTGCTCATTGTTCTACAATTTGCTTACTTCACTTAATAGTCTTAGATGTCTTTCTATGACAGTGAATATGGGTATTTCTCATCTTTTTTAATACCTGCAGACTATGGATGGACAAAGTTTATTTAACTTTTCCTATTGATGAATATTGAAGTTGTTTCCAACTTAAAAACAAGGCTACAATGAACATCCCTGCACATACCTGGTATACATGTGTTGGTGTTCTCTAAAGTAGGATTTTTCAGACCCACAAGTGAGTTATGAAATCAATTACTGTGTTTCTCCAAAAATAAGACAGGGTCTTATATTTATTTTTCCTCAAGAAGACACCCTAGAGCTTATTTTCAGGGGATGTGTTATTTTCCCCTCAAAGCCTCAGCGTGCAGCATGCACAGGATGGCCGGGACCTGACAGGGGGAGCCAACCTTGCTGGTGGGGCTGCCCGCACCTTTCCGGTCACCTCTGGGATAGTAGCTGTCACGATGGGGCAGGTGAGAAGGGCTGCTCGTCTTCTTTACCACTCCAAGACGAAATGCATGGGTTGTGGAGATGCGCTTCGTAGCCACGCCCATCACCAGGTCTTATATTCAGGGTAGGGCTTATATTGCGCAAATGCTTAGAAATCCTGCTAGGGCTTATTTTATGGGTAGGTCTTATTTTCGGGGAAACACGGTATGTAGTGACTAGGATTTTATCTAATAAAATAAAACAGAACAGAATAACAAAGACAGATGAAGAAAGGAAATTTAAGAATATTGCCCATTGTAAGGATGAAAACTATCCCACCAAACATTTTTACACACACACACACACACAGATGTATGTGTGTACTGGGTCATAATGTAAAACACTTCTTACTGTGGCTTGTATTAAAAAAGTATGAAAAACAAATGCTCTAAGGTATATTCTGAGAAGTGACATATATAAGTAAAAGGACACGTATATATTAATTAGGAATTTTAAAAACTATTCCTGAGCTTACCAAATCTCTTACTCCCCTAAATGAGACACGGCTGTATGTACATAACTAGTTACCTACACTTTATTTTCTAAGTATCTTTGGCAATCAGTATCAGACTTAGGTTACCAAAAATTTCAACCGATGCTGACCAATTCTAATATTCCTTATTATAAATAATTTCTTTAACTATCAGTTAAAAAGAGGTTCCTTCCAACAATTTTATCATTTGTGCTTTATCATCCGTTTTTGTTTTTTTTTTAGAGACAGGGTCTTGCTCTGTTGCCCACGCTAGAGTGCAGTGGTATGCTCACAGCTCACTGCAACCTCCAGTTCCTGGGCTCTAGCAATTCTCCTGGCTCAGCCTCCCGAGCAGCAAGGATTACAGGTACACGCCAACATGCCTGGCTAATTTTTTAAAATTTTGTTGTAGAGACAGGGTCTCACTGCATTGCCTAGGCTGGTCTCAAACTACTGGCCTCAAAAGATCCTCCCAACTTGGCTTCCCAAAGGGCCAGGATTACAGGATTGAGCCACCATGCTTTATCATCTCTAAGACACAGTGTTCCCCCTTTATCTTTGGAGGTATACATTTCAAGACCCCCAGTGGATCCCTGAAACCACAGATAGTACTAAACCCTATATATGCTATGCTTTTTCCTATACATACCTATAATGTATACCAATAATATATACCTATAATATGTACCTATATATACCTATAATATATACCTATAATAAAGTTCAACTTATTAATTAAGCACAGTAAGAGATTAACAACAATAACTAATAACAAAATAGAATGATTATAACAATATGCCAGCATCACTATTCTTGTACTTCAGGCCCTTATTAAGTAAAATAAGGATTACTTGAACACAAGCACTGCAATTTTGCAACATCTAGTAACTGAGAAGTATGCAGCAAGAATATGCTGGAAAAAGGGAGAATTTACATCCTGGGCAGGACAGAGTGAGATTTCATCACACTACTCAGAATGATGTGTAATTTAAAACTTATGAGTTTATTTCTGGAATTTTCCACTTAATATCTTTGGACCCCAGTTGATGTTAGAAACTACAGAAAGTAAAACCAAAGATAAAGGGGGACTTATGTATCTTTAAACATGTCTTTATTCGGTGAATTTAAAAACTAGTTCCACTAACCAGTTTCTAAAAATCACACCATACTATAATCCTTTATAGTTCTGAGTAGAATATTTTAGGAATTACTCCACCTTGAAACATCTAGAAATTCGATTATCCTTATGAATAAAATGAGCAAGTTTTCATCACTCTATCAGATTTTTAAAGATTTAGAATGGAAAATTACCATCAATTAGCAATTTAATGTTTTTTTCCTAAAGTAAAAATGTAAATTTTTATTTACTCATGTTACAGACCTTTCAAATACATCACTCTTTAGAAGAAAGGTTTTTTAATATCAACTCTTATTTTTCTTTACCTCACACCAGAAAAAATAAATAAATAAATAATTCTCTATACTAAAAACAAAAACAAAAACATAGGCTCGGTGGCTCACCCCTGTAATCCCAGCACTTTGGGAGGCCTACGTGGAAGACTGCTTGAGACCAGGAGTTCAAAACCAGCCTGAGCGAGAGCAAGACCCATATCTACAAAAAACAGAAAAATTAGACAGGCATGGTGGGTGAGGCAGGAGGATGACTGGAGCCTAGGAGTTCAAGGTGGCAGTGAGCTATGATGAGGCCACTATACTACTCCAGCCTGGGCAACAGAGTGGGAGACCTTGTCTCCTCCCAACAAAAACAAAAACAACAAATATATATATATGTGGTACACACATAAATGCAATAGCTAAATAAGGCTGTCTTAACCCCAAGTCAGTTACTTATGTTTCTTGGCAAAGCAAATGAAAATAGTAACTTACCTAGCCAGAGGGGATCGAAATGCTGTAGCTGCGGTAGGAAAATCCATGGTCCTTGTCTCAAGAACTGGTTTTCCTGGTATAAACTTTAAACTGTTGGGATTTGGAGTATCTTGTGTTTGAATAAACATGTATCTCACTAAAAAAGAAAAAGAAGAATATTATTCTAGAAAAAAAATAAAATATTTTTCTAGAATGTTATCCTAGAAAAAATAACAAGACTATGGCCTATGAAGTGCTCATTTTCAGAAAACCAGAAGAAGTGAGAAAAACTGGAAAAAACAAGGCTTTACTGCCCATACTGACACAATAATAATTTATAAAGATGAGGCCAGACATGGTGGCTCACGCCTATAATCCTACCACTCTGGAAGGCCGAGGCAGATGGATCCTTCAAGGTCCAGAGTTCGAGACCAGCCTGAGCAAGAGCAAGACCCCGTCTCTACTAAAAATAGAAAGAAATTAATTGGCCAACTAAAAATATATAGAAAAAATTAGCCAGGCATGGTGGTACATGCCTGTAGTCCCAGCTACTCAGGAGGCTGAGGCAGAAGGATTGCTTGATCCCAGGAGTTTGAGGTTGCTGTGAGCTAGGCTGATGCCATGGCACTCTAGCCTGGGCAACAGAGTGAGACTCTCTCAAAAAAAAAAAAAAAAAAACTTTATAAAGATGAGAAAGAAATATAACAGTATATTTAGGATAACTACATAGAATTTTATATTAATACTTTGATTATTTAGTTACTCAACAAATTCTAGCAATATCCTATACTTAAGTAGGAAGGTACATCATAATTCAGGAGTCATATATATATACTCTGTTTAGTGACTTGGTCCGAGTGGTTATCATAATCATAATCATAGATCATTTATCACCATGATATTAATAAAGTAAAATGTTACATTCCCTTCTTTCCAAAGTACCACCATTATATTAAAGATAATAAAGTTAGAGATTTATAATAATAGTAATAACAAACATTTATTATTAGCTTATTACATGCCAGATACAGGGTCAGGTGCTTGAAATGTATTAAGAATTATACCTTTAACAACCCTATAAAGAAGGTACTACTATTCTCACTTTACAAATGAAAAAACTGAGGCAGAGAGATACTAAATAACTTGCCCAATGGTATTAGTTAGTAACATTATAAAATCATATAAGTGGAAATCTATGCAAATTACTTTCTGGAATATTTGAAAGATATCTTTATAGGCTCTTTTCTTCTATGTTTCTTCTAGGACCATGATGAGACTGAGAATGAATTCATTATAACAATAAAGAGAAAACAGAATCTTTAATTTCCTACCTTGCTATAATGACAACTTGCAGGACAAAAGGATAGCATTGGAATTTTAATAATTATAAAACTATTAAACAGACTTTATTTATTACAGAAATAAACTTCTTATAAGATCTGAGAGCTATAGTGATTTTAAAAGAAAAAGAAAGAAAAGAAGGTGGAGGATTTCTTTAAGATGGAAGAAATCATCTTAAAGCAGTATATTTAAATAGGTTGACAGCAGTATATATTAATAATAATAACTAAAATATATTGATTGCATATCATGTGCTCGGCCTGGTGCTAAGCACATTACACATGTAAAGTACATCATTTAATCTTTACGTCCCAAGGAGGCATTGTTTTTATCTTATTTTTTAACGAGGAAACTAAAGGTCACTCAGCTACTAAGTGACAGAGGCAGGATTCAAATCTGGACAATTTTCTAGTGCTGACCCTCTTAGCCACTATGCATACTGCCAATGCTTATCTATTACTGCTAAGCATAACAGGAAAATAAGATCAGTCTCCCCATTCTGTCATAATTTTCATTCCACATATTTTAGGAGAGATAATAAAATATCAGAAAGCAACAGTTTTAAATTTGAAAGAGATTAAATTTGGCAAAACATATGGTTGGTATGAAAGTGTTTTTCTTAACCATTAGGGAGAAGGTTCTAATTTGACAGCTGAGAGTTGCTTTTGCACCTTGCCATGCAGTTACAGCTAGCTAATGTTAAACCATTTCCTGGATACAGTAGCAATTAAAACTAAACTCTCATTCATTTTGCTTAAGTTACTGTCCTAATTATACATCAGTTGGTGACCAGGCAAATCCTAAAAAAGAGAAAAATAAAAAATAATCTTGATGTCCAGCATGTCATTTAAAATATTTATATCTCTGCCAAGACATTCTGAAAATCTGTGTTATAAAGGAACAATTTTTCAAATGAAACGTTAAAGAAAGGGCTGCCACCACTGTCTGTAAATAAAAGACAGAAAGGTTCTTCTAACCCTGGTTCTGAACCAAACATTTATTACAGTCTGTCTGTCTGTCTTTCTTTCTTTCTTTTTTTTTTTTTTTTTGAGACAGAGTCTCACTTTGTTGCTCAAGCTAGAGTGAGTGCCGTGGCGTCAGCCCAGCTCACAGCAACCTCAATCTCCTGGGCTCAAGCGATCCTCCTGCCTCAGCCTCCCGAGTACCTGGGACTACAGGCATGCGCCACCATGCCTGGCTAATTTTTTCTATATATATTAGTTGGCCAATTAATTCCTTTCTATTTATAGTAGAGACGGGGGTCTCGCCCTTGCTCAGGCTGGTTTCGAACTCCTGACCTCGAGCAATCCGCCCGCCTTGGCCTCCCAGAGTGCTAGGATTACAGGCGTGAGCCACCGCACCCAGCCTGTCTGTCTTTCTTTACATTTCTTTTTTTTTAAGACAGGGTCTCACTCTTCACCCGGGCTAGAGCACAGTGGTGTCATCATAGCTCACAGCAACCTCAAACTCCTAGGCTCAAGCCATTCTCCTGCCTCAGCTTCCCAAGTAGCTAGGACTACAAGTGCACATCACCACACACAGCTATTTTTCTATATTTTTGTAGAGATGGGGTCTCACTCTTGCTCAGGCTGGTCTCAAACTCCTGACCTCAAGCGATCCTCCCACCTTGGCCTTCCAGAGTGCTAGGATTACAGGCATGAGCTATGGCACCTGGTCCAGCATTTCTTAATAATTTATTGGTAACCAATATCTCTGCATACACATTAAACATTCTACCAATACTTGAAGAATTAAATTTGGCTTTATTTTACTCAATCCACTTAAGTAAATCTAGACCTGCAGAAAGAAAAACGTTTTAGAAATATTTAAAGGTAAAACCTATAAATGTTTTTTTAAAAAGTCACTTAAAAGCATATAATCGGCCAGGGGCGGTGGCTCACGCCTGTAATCCTAGTACTCTGGGAGGCCAAGGTGGGCAGATCGCTCCAGGTCAGGAGTTCGAAACCAGCCTGAGCAAGAGCGAGACCCCGTCTCTACCATAAATAGAAAGAAATTTTGGCCAACTAAAATATATATATAAAAAATTAGTCGGGCACGGTGGCGCATACCTATAGTCCCAGCTACTCGGGAGGCTGAGGCAGTAGGATCGCTTGAGCCCAGGAGTTTGAAGTTGCTGTGAGGTAGGCTGATGCCACGGCACTCACCCTAGCCTGGGCAACAAAGTGAGACTCTGTCTAAAAAAAAAAACAAAAATTCAAAAAAAGCATATAATCTATACATGCTGTCTGAGCATAGAAATTATGAAAATATATGACATCACTACCATACAATGTTTCTCTTTTGACAATAAACAAACTATTTCAAAACATATATTTGAATAGGTAAATATTTAACAAGATCATTCCAATTTTAACCTAAATTGGGTTTAATTAGGTATTTCAAAGTGTCATGAGAGTTACAAAAGGATAGACTGATATAAAATGTTTTTTCCTATTATGCTTGGTACTCAGAGGTACCAAAATAGGTAGGCATAAGATCCTCCAAAATATAGATTAGTGCTGCTTATAGTCAATATCAATGACAAAATCAGTGGGTTTCTAATTTGAAAAGCCTAGATGACAACATAATTCAGTTCTACAAAATTTAGAAGTCCAATTAAAGTGGTCTGATCTATTGAGTTATTCAATATTTACATATTTATGTCTAAACTATTCTGTGATTCAAGGAGACGGGCAAGCTGGCAGGAAAGCACTCCTCTTCCTGCCCATGTTTACAGAAGGCATAAAGTCTCTACCCTTGTACCTTTAGTCAGAGTCAGCCACCTTCCAGAGGATAGCCACAGGAAGGTGTTTAAGGTCATGATGGAAAGGGGGATAGGCTGAATCAATATACTTACAGTTCCATAACCGCATATAGGTATGCACTTATACACACACATACATGTGCATTCATATACACACCTAAGCTTCTATAACCACATTACAATGGTCACATTAATACCTTTTTTTTTGAGAAGGGTCTTATTTTGTTGATCAGGCTGAGGTAGAAGGGTAAGATCATAGCTCACGGTTTCCTGAAACTCCTGGGCTCAAGTGATCCTCCCACCTCAGCCTCCAGGGTAGCTGGGACTACTGGCATATGCCCCTAAGCCCAGCACATTTCAAATTATTTTCAAATCCCATCTTCATAACTATTTCCAATATTAAAGAAACTCAAAGTATATAATATCAACAAGATTGTTAACAAAACCACAGTAATTAATTTTGACAAAAAAAGGAAAACTATATTCAAAATCCTATGTTGTAAGGTCTGGATGAAAGCCAGAGATATACTGATTTTACAGGTATTCTTACCAAAATAAGAAAAGCAGTAACTTAAAATACATATGATTATTTGAAGCACAAACCCATTTATAACTTCCTTTTTTTTTTTTTTTTTTGAGACAGAGTCTCACTTTGTTGCCCAGGCTAGAGTGATGCCTGGCATCAGCCTAGCTCACAGCAACCTCAAACTCCTGGGCTCAAGCAATCCTTCTGCCTCAGCCTCCTGAGTAGCTGGGACTACAGGCATGTACCACCATGCCTGGCTAATTTTTTCTATATATTTTTAGTTGGCCAATTAATTTCTTTCTATTTTTAGTAGAGACGGAGTCTTGCTCTTGCTCAGGCTGGTCTCAAACTCCTGAGCTCAAACAATCCTCCTGCCTTGGTCTCCCAGAGTGCTAGGATTACAGGCGTGAGCCACCATGACCGGCCTCTATATTCTTTTTATAGGGTTCTAAGTAGAAAATTCTAATCTTTTATGATCCACAAAATCCTAGCACAGTTCCATTATTCTGAACACCATTTGCTCTAAAAGAGGTAAAATGTTACCTGTGTTACGTAGGGCTGTAGGTAGTAGGAAAAGTGGTCTCTGTACAAATTGATGCAAAGGATATTTCTTAATGGTATATGGATTCTTCATCACAAGACAGAGCCTACATTTTAAAACAAATAATAAATGACATTTTAAGAGATCTAATCTTTTAAAACAAGTTCCTATTTCTCGTGTATAAAGACATATGTAAAACTCAAACATAACCAGCAATAAAAAATGACAGAGCTGACTTTTCATTTTCCATCTACAACATTATTTTCACTTACTTAGACAAGCAATATTTACAAACAATTCAACAGGTAAAGCTCAAATGGAAATTCATAGCCTTGATAACTGGATGTACACAAGATACTATAACATCCAGGTATAAGAAACAAAATTGCATTTACATTAGTCATTTATAACCTGGAGTCCCAGACTCCTAGCTATTCATGAAGGAGGCAAAGAACTATAGGCATTTATTTCTTCTTTAGAAAAAAATTTAAAACCAGGTAATAGAGTCACATGGTTCAAAACTAATAAGGAAATAAGTGTGTTATGGTGAAAAGTCTTCCTCCTTCTCTGCACACCACTACTATGTTTCCCTCTGTAGATAAAATATGTATCACCTGTTTTGAAAAGGATTTCATGGTGGGGGTGGTGCAAAAAAAGTATTTCAATACTTCAAAAAATCTAATAGACAGTATACTGTTGTCCCCCAACCTGCTAAATCAGCCAACAGTCTTTACATGCTTTCTGTTTGGAAATATGCTTTCTGATTGGAAATATATTAACCTAATGTTGTAACTTTCACTCTTTTTGTTTAGTGGAGAGGTGACAGGGTGTTGCTCTTTTGCCTGGGCTAGAGTGCAGTGGTGTGATCATAGCTCACTGCAACATCAAACTCCTGGGTTCAAGGGATCCCCCTGCCTCAGCTCCCAAGTACCTGGGACTACAGGTGTGCACTACCATGCCCTGATAATTTTCTACATTTCAGAAGAGACAGGGTTTCACTATGTTGCTCAGGCTGCTCTCAAACTTCTGGCCTCAAGTGATCTTCCTGCCTTGGCCTCCCCAAGTGAGTCACTGGTGGCCATATGCTCTTGGTGTCCATGGTCATATAGACCAGTGGCTCTCAAATTATGATCCCTGGGCTCCTGGAGTCTTCTAGGGGTGGCGAGGCGGGGGTCCAGGAGGTCAACACCATTTTCATAATACTACAGAATTTTTTACAGTATTCACTTTGTGGACACTTGCACTGATATGAAAGCAACAGTGTTTGGTGAAACCTCCAAGGTCTTAACCCAAATCAACTAAGTAGCAGCACCAAACTGCACCAGAGGTCATATTCTTTAGCCCCACATTTGTTGCAGTTCAACAAAAGGCCAGCTTCACCGTAAGAATGTCCATGCTGGACTAGTAATTATTAATTTTCTTAAAATGTGTCCCTTGAGTATATCCTGTTAATAGTCTGCGAATAAAGCACTTCTGCTGGATACCCAAGTACTGACAACATTTACATAATTGTTTGAACTGCAAGTTGAGCTACCTGCTTTTTTCATAGAACATTTTTTTTTTTTTTTTTTTTTGAGAGAGAGTCTGGCTCTGTCCCCTGGCTACAATGCAGTGGTGTCATCATAGCTCACTCACTGCAACCTCAAACTCCTGGGGCAATCCACCCTCCTGCCTCAGGCCTCCTGAGCAGCTGAGACTACAGGAGGGCACCACCAAGGAAAACATCTCAACATATGAGGGGGAGACAGGACATAACCAACAAAAAACCCTTCTGCAACCTTAATATTTTTAGGAAATGCGTTTAATCTTAAACAGCACGATTAACCCTAAAACTTCTAATACTCAAGAGGTCAAACTCCTTTGTAGGCCTTTTTCTCCAGAAGTAAAATCAGGGTTTACACCTACAGAAGTCCTCTGCCAAAGCTGACATATGTCTTTGAAAGGCAAAACTCAAAGCCCTGCTGGGGAAAGGGGAAAAGCAAGGGAAAGGTGTGGGCTTAAGTGGTGGTGGTGAAGATGGGAAGGAAACCTAGCGGCCAGATTGTCCTAGGAGTTCCAACACTTCGGAGCTGTGGGACCTTGGATATATCACATCCCCTTTCTGGGCCTCACTGGGAAAATGAAATAATGAGATAAGGCATTTTCTTCCTTTCTTTGTGACATTCTGATTTGTGTTTAAAAGAGGAGGGAATGCACGTGGTCGAAAGGCTGGGGGTGGGAGGGGAAACCACACGATTCAAATCCAGCTCCTCAGATCTGATCTGTCTCTACAGCAGGACTCTGCGAGCCCGTCTCCCGACTGCTAGACCCTCAACTGCGGTGACGGGGACAGACCCAACGGCTCCGTCAGATGCATTGCCTCCCCCCTTGAGAAAGAGTCTGCGAGGCGGCGACCGCTCCGCTAGATAAACGCAGCGGCACCCCTGTTGGAGCCAGGCCGGTCACCTACCGCCTGCGCAGCCCCGCGGCAGCAGCAGCCGCTCCACAGCCCCGCCAGGCCGCCGCCATCTTAGTCCTAGGTGCGCAGGCGCGTCCTCGGAAGCACTAGGGAAGCCCTGCGCAGGCGCAGGCTGTCTGGGAGCTCGGCGGGCAATGGGACTGGTGCACTCTACGGACTACAGACGGGGCTGCTGCGGATGAGCGCCGCGGGCTTTGCAACCATTGCCTACCCTCTGCGTCAGCCTGAACAGGGGAGGCGGGGTAGGATAAAGACCATGCTATGTTTGCTCAGGCGCCCCCATTGAGGCATGCTGCACCCCGAACGCATGCGCAGAGCTGTACTTTCCTTTTTTTTTTTATGCTGGTTGAATGCTTAGCTAGCGCTGGTCCTCCGGTTAGAATGCTGTTCCCCCACCCGTAAATCTGCCCCGTGGGACCCTGTTCGCTCCCAGGCTCAGCTCAGTGACTGCCCCCAGAAACTCCCCGGAGCATCCCCTCTGTAGGGTTCTCGCCTTTCTCCTGCCGTTCTCCCACGTGGCTGATGTGGCCCTGTGTCTAATCCTTTCCTACAGGCTGTACTTGGGGGCTCGCCCGCCGCTTGGTCATCTTGGACCGTCCCGCACAGAAGACGCACCTAGTGCTCTGCTGCCCTTCTATGGATAAACATGAGTATTGACTGGTTTCCAGAGCAAACTACAAAAGCCCATTAACAACTCTTCCAGAACCTTGCTGCAGTGTTCTCTGGAACAGTTTTCTCTAGGACAGCGTTTGTTGGAGTGTGGACTGGGGGCAAGAAAAGCGTGAGATCACGTTAGATATGCAAATTCCCAGGCCCACCTTCGACTTAGAATCTCTGTAGGTGGGTACTAGTAATCTGTTTTAACAAGCCCTCCTGGTCATTCCAATGGCAGGCTAAAATTTGAGAACCACTGCTATGGAAGATAGACATAGAGAACTGGTCTGTAGAGTGGAAACCGCACACCTGTTGTTGAACAGGTTGAGGCCACACCCAGGATAACCCAGATAGTTTCTGTAGCCCAGAGACATATCTAAGAAGGTGGGTGGGGTTTCGGGCCTGCAGCTGGCCTGGGGCTGGACACAGGCTGTGCCTCCTCCCGAATGCAGTTTGCTTCCCAAGACAGCGCCTTTGCTTTCCAACCACTGTCTCTTCACCCACTCATTCTAGATCTCAAGCCGTCCAAGGCTCCCCCTTCCCCTCCCCCTCCCTCTTATTCTCTTCTGGACCCTAAACCAAGAATAACATGTGGCTTTTTCACCTAGGAACGGGCCCTGATTAGGGAGCGATCTTTCTTCTGTCTTCAGTTTCTCCCTCTTATGAATTCCTTCTCATAAGAAGAATCCTGCCTTGCCCCAAATCCTCTTCCATCCTCTCTTCCCTTCTGAGCCAAGTGGTTTAAAAGAGTTGTCTATAGTCTAAGTCTCTAGTTTTCACCTTCCACTGCTCAAACCACTGAAACCAGGCTTGCGTGTCCCACTGTTGCCAGAGCCTGCTGTAGTCAGACTGCCCACAACCTCTCTGTTGCCTTCTCTGTCCCAACCTTTCTTGACCTCTGAAACATTGAAGACTGAGGATCTCTCCCTCCCTTTAAATAATTTCGTTTCTTGGCATCCTGGGCACCACAGTGGCTATTTTTCCTGCTACCTTCTGGTTGCTCCTCCTCAGTCTCCCTTGCACAGTTCTATCTGCCCACCACTTAATGTTGGTGCTTTTGGGACCTCATTCCAAGCCCTCTTCTCTTCCCTTTTGTTTGTGATAAATTGACAAATTTCATTCTAGGGAGTTTTATACAAGTTAGCATTTCTGTGAGCTGCCAGAATGTTTCTCTCTCTTACAAAAATTGGATTTAAAAAACTTTTTTTTTTGCCAGTTATTGGTCATTTACATTAAGTGAAAACAAAACAGATTAGAAACAGTTTTTTTTTTTTTTTTTTGAGACGGAGTCTCACTGTGTTGCCCCAGGGTAGAGTGCCGTGGCATCAGCCTAGCTCACAGCAACCTCACACTCCTGTGCTCAAGCGATCCTCCTGTCTCAGCCTCCCAAGTAGCTGGGACTACAGGCACATAGCACTACACCCAGCTAATTTTTTCCATTTTTAGTAGAGACAGGGTCTGGCTCTTCCTCAGGCTAGTCTTAAACTCCTGAGCTCAAGGGGTCCTCCTACCTGGGCCTCCCAGAGTGCTAAGATTACAGGCGTGAGCCACCGTGGCTGGCCCATAGCACATTATCACAACTTGAAATTATGGGTCTGGGTATTGATTAATGATCCTTTCCCCTTTCCTCTGCTATACTCTAAGCTTTATAAGAGATGTGGCAGTCTCTTTAGTTTTGTATAAGTGCCTGTCACACAGTAGGTGCTCAAAAAGTATTTGTTGAGAGAATGAATAGAGTCACCTCAATCCTTTGTCAGATCTAATATATTCATTCAACCCTGTGTGATGGTTGTGTGGACAGCAGAAAGGGAAAGGGAGGAAGGAAAGTGTGGCCTGGTCCAGTTCACCCCTCACCTGGTGCTGTGTGAAGGCCAAGTGCAGCATTTTATGGAAAGGATTGTATCCAGGGGAATGTGAAACTAGGGACAGCAGACGGACAAGCCAGTAGCAGAGGTGAAACAGCTTTGCCTTCTTTCCCAAATATACTAGAGGGAGGGAAACTCTATAGGAAAAAGAAAAACTACTACTTGAGATATCTGTAGCTCTGTTCATACCCCCTTCTCTTTATCTGCACACACACATGCACATACATACATAGATATACATGCATTCACAATGATAACTGATAGACAACTGATATTTTCCCTAATACCGTTTTAGCAAAGATGTCAACTACATTTTAATTGTTGGCTAAGAAGATTATCAGACCATGTGACATGGACCAAAACATCATTTACTCATATACACATTCATTCATTCAATAGCTATTTATCAAGTACTTTCTCAGTGTAGGGCACTGTGCTTTGTATTGAAGATAAGGGCTCACAATGCTAGAGACCTTCCAATATCTATTTTCCCCTTCTTCCTCATTTGTGAACACTGATTTTATTCAGATATCAATCGAGTCCAATTAAAAAAACTCATTTCCCAGCCTCACTTGCAACTAGGGGGTGGCCTTATGTCCCAGTTCCAACCAATAAGACAGATGTGGAAGTCTGCCGGGATTGTCAGAAGGCTTTGCTTTCCTGCCCTAGGAGCTGACCATCCCTCCCTGCTTGGAGAGGTGTAGGAATGCTGGCAGTGTGGCAGCCATGCTTCAACCACGACACTCACCTGAGACAATGAGCCAGCAACTGCCAGCACCCAACCTCCTCCAGACTTCTTGTTGCATGAGAAAAAACCAATCTCAAATTTGCTTATGCCACTGTTTGACCAGGTTTTCTGTCACTCACAGATGATCAAAATCCTTGGTAGAGGGATATAAAGATGAATAAAACAATTCTTGGTCTCAGAGAGCTCCCAGAGAAGAGCCATAAATCAACAAAAGCACAAGGGAGCAAAGTGCTACATGGGGCTCTGTAGGGGGCACACCAGTGGCAGCAGGAGAAGTGAGCCATGATTCTGGGGGCAAAGGAAGGCCTGGGGAAGGCTTCAGATAACAGGAAATTCTTCTGCTGAGTATTTAACTAAAAATGAAAGTTTAAGATGTTCCCAACAGGGATTTGAGCACTGGCATTAACTCCTATGGCCTCTCTAGACTATAAACACCGTGTGGGTATGCCATCTTTATGTTTTTCATTTTATTCCCAGTGCCTGGCATTTAAGAGGTGTTCAAGATATACTTGCTCAATTGAAACCTCTCTGAAGTTCCATAGAACTAATCACTTTCTAATATATATTTTATTTAATTATTATGCTAATTATTTGTCATCAGTTTCCCCCTTTAGAGTGTATGCCTGACAAGCGTAGGGATCTTTGTTTATATTGGTAACTGATTCATCTCATGTACCTAGAACAGTGCCTGGCATGTTGTAAGAGCTCCATTAAGTACTTGTTGAACAAACGTGGATAACAATACCTACTGAAAATTATTGGGTAGGCTAGAGAAAATGCATTTGAAGGGCCTTGGACTGAGCTTGTCACATAGGTAGCTATAATGATGCTGTTGCCTTATCCTCCTGTAAAACTTTGAGACCCATTCCTGACACATTTACAAGGAATGACACCTGAGGTCAGTAGACTAATCTATGTTGTTCCTGGAAATGAGACAGGTTTGAGCATTTCTGGAAGGCAGGTGTGGCAGGTCCAGCAGATAAATATTTGCCTGTGGCATTGTGAACTCTTCTGGAAAAGAATTTGTCCTGGTGAAGAAATCTTCTCCCATGGAAATGGTTAATATTCATAAGTTTGATCCAAGATCAGTGAGTCCTGCTGCTCAGACTGTCTTCTGGACCAACCGCCATGGACTCTGTCGCAGGCTCAGGGAGAGGGCTTGAAACTAAGGTGACACACAAAAGAAGGGTGTTGTTTTGGTGAAACAGCTAAGACTGTGTGAGCCCCCAAGTCCCAGGTCCTGCTACTTCATAGCCAGTGAAAGGAAAGGAGCATGTTGTATCCCAGTGCAACCAGTGGAGCATAATTAACCATTGATTGGATGTCAGGGCCTGAAACAGGCTGCAGCAGCCCCTATCTGGACAGAAGAAGCAGGAAGACATTATACCATGGGTGTCTGGCCTTGTTAAACAAAATTATGGGAAGCCATTGTTTTGGACTGAGCTCCTGCACTAGGCCCCAACAGACCAGACCAAACCAAATGGAGTCACTTGTGCTAAATGCCATGTAATCAAACTGAAACTTTAAGGAAGCAGAATGATCCCAAAACAGAGCAGTTTTTTCCTCTCCTGCAGAGAGGAGATTCTAGCATAATAAGGAAGTCCCCTCTGCCCTAACCCTTATAAAAAAGCACCCTGATGTTAACTAATCAGGTGTTTTTTTTCCTATTATTCTGTTTCTTTGTTCCCACCTTACAAAACCCACTGTTCTACTGTTTCCCAGTGGGAGTTGAGAACAAATTAAGTCCTAAAATTTGCTATGGTGACAGAATGAAATCAATGCCTAAAGTTTCAGTCAATCTCTCAAAATTGAGAGGTTGCCCAAAAGCAGGGAAATTGTTAAGTTTGGCCTAAAGATGCCTCCTTACATATTTTAAGTTGAGCCTATAGGTTTCTTCATACATAATGAATGGTAACCCAAAATGATGTGTAAACAGACTCTTGTAACAAATAGCAAGTCTCAGCCAATCACAGCAGCTGAACTTCAGTGAACCACCAGTGGCCAGCTGTATAAACCAGGTTCAAATAAGCCAAATGCCCAACTGTACCCATCCAGTTGTTTCTGTACCTTACATTTTCTGTAAGTCATGTTCCGTGTTCTATCTGTAATCTTATCCAACCATGTGACAGCCCTGAAGTCATTCTGAACCTATTCTGGTTCTGGGACTACCCAATTCTCAATGCTTCTTTGCACAAGTAAGCTCTATTGCTTAAAAGTTTTTCTTCTAACAGCCTTCTGGGCCTGATTTGGCCTCAGGCAGCAGAGAAGTTAAAGAAGTAAATAAGTAAACAGCAGAACGGAATCTGTTCCAAGCACGTGTGAACCCAGGAATCGCTGGAGAGAGTTATCAGTCATTGGAGTTTCCCCACAGAAAGTGGGAGCAGAGACAGAGAAATATGGTATTGTGACCCTATTTGTACTGAGAGGTTGGTGAAGTTCTCAAGAAACAAGTTAAACAGATGACAACAAAGATAATGCATTCTAATTATCACTCTAATTACATACAGCCCTCTCCACACTGCCTTTGGTTTATTGGTTGAGATAAAAAGAAATCCATTCCTTCCTTCTTAAATATCTAGAATAAACATTTTAAAAGCAAAATCCCTACTTTAATATTTTGCCAAATTGCTCTGCAAGCTTTGTAGCTCTGCTCCTGTCTCATACCTAATGACTTACACCAACAACCCCCAAAACCTTGGCTTCCTTTATTAAAACTGTACCTCTCCCATTTTACCTCCAAATCAGGGAGTCCTTAGATTTGAGGTCTAAGACAACACCTGAGAACACCTGGTCATTTGGGTTTGCTGTGTGTATGTAGCTGGAGGGCTGCTTAAGGCTATGCAGGTTGTGTCCTGCTTAACTTTAGGGGCCTTTCCACCTTCCTCCCACAGCAGAGGAGGCATTTCCTTGCCCAAAGCCAGAATCTCCATCTGTGCTCTCTACCTGCCCCAACCCCACCCCTGCTAACACAGGCTGCAATGTGAATCGTGCCCCATAGAGTTACACAGCATACTATGTGTATCAGGATGTGGACTGGGACTTCCCTGCTGTCTTGGAATTTTGGCTAAAGCCTCAAAATTAAGGAGATTGGATAAAAAGGGCTCTAACATTGTGGTTGGCTTCCTAAAAGATATTTTAAAAATGGTGACACCACAGACCAAACTGTCTAGGTTACATAAGACAGGCCAAGTGAGAATCATTCCTTAAGGCCCCTGGGTGGCTACCAGAAGAGGAATGTGAAGTCTCACTGTCTGGCTGCAGGCTTCCTGACTTGCACAAACTTTCGGGTCAGTCTCTCCAGTGCCTGGGTAAATGTGAGAAAAGTCCTTGGAATGTCCTCAGGAGATTGGGGGTGAAGTCTAAAAGTGGGAAGCCTGCCAAAGCAGCCCACAGATGTCACAGCAAAGAGAGAAGGAACAAGAGACCAGCTTGCACTCCTGACAGTCGATGGGACACGGATGTAAGAGTTTCCCATGGGCCAAGTGGGTGCCATAGAATCGAGCCAGGCTGAGCCGTTCTGTGTGATTCTGCTGATGGGTTTCAGGTTAGGAGGGGCCCCAGCAGTGTAAGGGGCCCCAGGTTGTTGAGTGGAATATTCTCCCACAGGCAGGAGGTAAGAGAAGCAGGTTGTAAGAGTTAGTTACAATAGAGGCCAATAAACTTTTTTGTAAAGGGCTAGAGAGTAAATATTTCAGTAGTTGCAACATGGTCTCTGTTGCAACTTCTCAACCCTGCCACACATAGCAAAAGCAGCCCTAAGCAATACATGAATGAGTGTGGCTGTGTTCCAATACAACTTTATTTATGAACACTAAAATTTGAATTTCATGTAATATTTCACCAAATATTATTCTTTGGATTTTTTTTTCAGCCATTAAAAAATGTAAAATCCATTCTTATCTGTGTCCCACAGGCCATAGTTTGTGGATCCATAAACTAAAGGATGCATCACCCTGACAGGAACAGTGCAAAAAGCCACATGCAACTCCAGCTGAGGGGAGGATCGCTGCACCCTGATCCCAAGCCCCACCATCCCCCAGTCCCAACCTGCAGGAGCCAGGTGCAGGAGAAGGAGGCTGGCCCCTGCGCCCAGGCTGGGGAAAGGAGAGTAGCTCTGAGGAAGACTGAAGTTTTAAAGACTTGGTTACACTTTTTAATACTTGAAAACAAAGTAAGATGGAAAACAAGATAATTCTAATAGCTAAAAGTGACCAGAAAGCTATGGGATCTGCTAGAAATTTCAATAAGGAGTAAGGCAGGGAGATAAAAAAAAGACCATATTTAAGCCCCCTTGCTGACTCTATTCAAAATATTGGTTGCATATATTGTAACCATCTCCTTTATTAGCTGCTCCAAACTTATCCCTTCTTCATTTTTAGCAGATTTTATTTTACCAGAAAAAAGACTGAGGACTTGGTGGTAACAGTGGTAGGCATGGACTTTCCTTCTTTTTTTTGAGACAGAGTCTCACTCTCTTGCTGGGGCTAGAGTGCTATGGCATCAGCCTAGCTCACAGCAACCTCCAACTCCGGAGCTCAAGCAATCCTACTGCTTCAGCCTTCCCAGTAGCTGGGACTACAGGCATGTGCCATCATGGCCGGCTAATATTTTCTATATATTTTTTTAGTTGTCCAGCTAATTTCTTTCTATTTTTTTTTTAGTAGAGACAGGGTCTCGCTCTTGCTCAGGCTGGTCGGGAACTCCTGAGCTCAAATGATCCGCCCCGCCTCGGCCTTCCAGAGTGCTAGGTTTACAGGCCTGAGCCACTGCGCCCAGCCGGATTTTCTGAATTGTCCCCACCCTGCCCAAACATATACACTTATCTGTTTCTATTGAAGGGATCCAGAAAATACCACTATAAACAATTCCCTCCCAACCCCCCTTATCTGCCTATAACAGAGGGATTTCATAACCAGGAAAGATTGACTCCTATCACTGGAGAGAAGTCAGCCCCAGGATAAGAAATTACCTAAACAGATATACTCACAAAATGAGCATCTCTCCCATCTATTCTCCTAAAGGCCCATTTATCTTTCCTGAAAGTCATTTGTTTTTCCATGGTTGCCCTCTGCCCTCCCCTAATTAAGATCAAATTCCAACCACCTCCTTGAGTTGCACTTTTCTATGAATTGCTCTGTATGTACCTGAATTTAAAAGTCTGTCTTCTGGCCCCAGTTAACCGTAAGCGGGAGGAGGAAAGGTCTGCTCTTCCCAGCACAGCATTAATCTTTCTGCCTTCCTCCTGCAGCAGAAGAGGCATCTTCCTTGCCCAAAGCCAGAATCTTCACTGGTGCTCGCCACCTGCCCAACCCCCACCCCTGCCATCCCCCAGGGACTTTTTGCCCCATTTACTTATTGTTCTAAATAAACTTTCTATTTTAGAATATTTTTAGATTATTTTGTTTCTATATATCCCCTACCCAGTTTCCACTGTTGATATCTTCTTACTTTACCATGGGACATTTGCCACAGCTAGGAAACCAATGTTAACTAAACTCCACAGTTTATGTGAATTTTGTTACTTTTCTCCTCATGTTCTTTTTCTGCTGCAGGAACCGATCTGGGATACATTACATTTATCAGTCATGTCTCATAGTGTCTTCTGGCCAGTGACAGTTTCTCAGACTTGCCTTGTTTTTGATGACACAGTTTTGAGGAGTGCTGGTCAGGTATTTTGGACAGTGTCCCTCCATGGAGATTTGTCTGATGTTATTCTGTTGGTTAGAATGGGGTTATGAGTTTTAGGAAGACCACAGAGGTGAAGTGCCCTTCTCATTATATTGGATCAGAGGTATACACTATCAGTGTGTCTTATCACTGTTGATGTTGACCTTGTTCATCTGGCTAAAGTGGTGTCTGCCATGTTTTCCACTGTAAAGTTATTCCCTATTCCCTTTCTGCATTTTTTGTAATTAATTTTTTTGAGTTGGGGTCTATGTTGCCCTGGCTGGTCTCAAACTCTTGGGCTCAAGCAATCCTCCCACTTCAGCCTCCCAAGTAGCTGGGATTAAGGTATGCCCCACCACAGCTGCTCCCCCAACCCTTTCCAGCCATTACTTTTTGGAAGCACAGTCCACATTCAGGTGTGTGGAAATAAGCTCCACTTCCTTGGATGGGCGGAGGGTGGAATCTACATAAATTAATTGAAGTTCTGTGTGAGAGATTTGTTTTTTCCTCTCCTTATATTTATTCAATCATTTTTTATATCAGCATGGGCTCATGGATACTTATTTGTACTTTGTGTTATAATCTAATAATATGGTGTTCATTTTATTTTATTTGAGACAGAGTCTCACTTTGTTGCCCAGGCTAGAATGAGCGCTGTGGCGTCAGCCTAGCTCACAGCAACCTCAATCTCCTGGACTCAAGCGATCCTCCTGCCTCAGCTTCCTGAGTAGCTGGGACTACAGGCATGCGCCACCATGCCCGGCTAATTTTTTTTTTTTGTATATATATATATATATTAGTTAGCCAATTAACTTCTATTTATAGTAGAGACGGAGTCTTGCTCTCACTCAGGCTGGTTTCAAACTCCTGACCTCGAGCAATCTGCCCGCCTCGGCCTCCCAGAGTGCTGGGAGGTCAGCCTGGTCTTTATTTTAGTGCTTCATTTGTTCTAGCTTTGCCCACTGGGATTTCTTTCAGGTTGACTCTTGTGTCTCTGTGACTTTTTTCTTTTAAAATGCTTCTTTTCTTTCTGGCATTATACTATAAGATGCTCCTGGTTCATCTTGTATATTTCTGCTCTAGCCCTAGACTCAGCCATTTCCCTGTGGAGCCCTGGCACCTGTTATTAGAGGATGGCATTTACAAACCAGGAACTGAGTGCTTGGGCTGCTTGTTTTCCATGTACTTTTCATTATCTTATTCCTTCATCTTCCTCTGCCCCCTCTCTACAGATTGTTTCCCCTTAGCTGCCTAGTAGTGTGGGCATCACATATGTTCACATTTGCCCCATTAATCCTTCATCCACAGGAAAACTCCCCAGCTTTTCATTCTAGTAGGGTTGCATTTTATACGAATTTGAAAATGCTATGTTAGAGGTTAATAAAGTCAGAATTCCATGTGCAAAATATGAAATAAATGCAAATATTAAAAACCATCAGAGAAAGCACAGTTTCAAAGCGGGGTGGGCTGAAGAAATTGTTATTACCATACAGTGGTGCCGTGATAACTGGTGACTCAAACAGAAATCCAGCTAACATGGTATCAGTTTCCTATTCCTGCTGTAACAGATTACCATAAATGTAGTGGCTTAAAAACAACAGATTTTTTTTTTTCTCTTACCAAACGGTGAGAGAGTTTGAAAGGTAAGAGTTTGAAATCATTTTCACTGGGCTAAAGTCAAGATGTTGTCAACACAGCCAGTTCCTTCTAGAGGTTCTCAGGGGAGAATCTATTATTTCTATATTTCCTTGTCTTTTTTAGCTTCCAGTGTCTACCTATATTCCTTGGCTTCCTCTAACTTCAAAGTGCACTCCTCTTTGCTTCAGTCGTCACATTGCCACCTTCTCTCTTATTTCTCCTCTGTCTCTCTCAAAGGACCCTTGCTGAGCCCACAAGGATAAACCAGAATAACTTCCCGAGTCAAAATCCTTGATTTATCATATCTGCTAAGTCCCTTTTACCCTGTAAGGTGACATTCACAGGTTCTGTGGATTAGGACATGGGGAAGGGGGAGGCATTATTAAACCTACCACAGTGATTTTTTTTTTAAACATTAACTAATAGTATAGTGTGATTCTACTTTTATATCCTAAAAATGTCAGCTAAATATCTGTTAAATGACGTTATTAGTACAAGAATTGGAGGAAAAAATACATCCAAATCAATAATATTGGAATGCAAGTTAGATATAATAAAATATGGAGAAGGCTATTAATTTGAGAGAGAAGAAAGACCTTTTCAGAAAAAAAGCCCACCATATAATGTAAAAAAATGTCGGGCAAGGCTGGGTTGTGTTTTGCTAGAAGAATCAGTGCAGCTAAGGTGTGCCCTTAAATTACAGTAGCTCTGGCTGGTAAGGACACATCCTTCTTACTTTCAATTCATATTTGTAAGAAAAGCAGTCTTGAATTAAACAAATTTTGGATCACACAAGGTCCTTGGTCCTTATATAAAGGGAACCACCCATCCTTCACCCCTGTGGACTCCTCAACCCACAGCAATCAGCCCAGACCACCTTCCCAAAATTTTTCTTGCTGAGATCATTAATAGCCTCCTGACAAATCAAAGAGCATCCTTCTTGTTGTGTTTGCTCTGTGGCTTTTAACACTACTGACCACTGCTTATTCTTGAAATTTTTTCCTCCCTTAGCTTTGGTGTCACCCTCCTGTTTCTCAGTTTCTTTCATGGCTTTTTTCCTGCACCCGTGTTCCAAAGGATGTTATAAGTAAGTGCTTCTCCTCACGCACTGCATTCTCCTTCATTGATCACATCTATGTGTGGGCATTCAACTACCATTCGCTGCTGCCTCTCCTCTAACAGCAGACAAAACTTCTCTCCTGATCCATACAGCTAATGGCCATCTAGACTTCACTTTAACAGCCCATCTGCAGGCACAGGACATTTTGAACCACTGTGGCTGTTTTATCCAATGTTTCTGAAAACATTTTAATTGGGCTAATACCAATATTGATGAATTTTCATCAAGAAACTATATTAAGCAACTCTATTAAGCCAATTTTCATTTTATTGTAATTTGTTTCATCAGGATCTAGTCTTTTTCTTTTTTGTTAAGACAATGTCTCAGGCTGTCACTCAGGCTAGAGTGCAGTGGCATCATCATTGCTCAGTGCAACCTCAAACTCCTAGGTTCAAGCAATCCTCTTGCCCCAGCCCCTAGAGTAGCTAGGACTATAGGCATGTGCCACCATGCCTGACTAATTTTTTTTTTCTCTCTCTCTTTTTAGTTCAATATATTATAGGGGTACAAAGGTTTTAGGTTATATAGATCACTTTTGTAGTGCTGAGTCTCAGCTATAGGTGTGCCCATCACCCAAATAGTGTTCATTGTACCCATTAGGTAGGTTTTTGCAACTCCCCACCTTCCCCTCTCCCCTGGTTGTTTTCCACCGAGTTTTACTTCCCTCTCTACACATGTGCCCACCAGTTAGTTGCAATTTAATAGTGAGAACATGTGGTGTTTGTTTTTCCATTCTTGAGATACTTCACTTAGGAGAATGGCCCCCAGTTCCAACCAGATTGTTGCAAAAGGCATTAATTCATCTTTTTTATGGCTGAGTAGTACTCCATCTCTCTCTCTCTCTCTCTCTCTCTCTCACACACACACACACACACACACACACTACATTTTATGAATCCACTCATGAATTGATGGGCACTTGGGTTGATTCCACATCTTTGCAATTGTGAATTGTGCTGCAATAAGTATTTGAGTGCAGGTGTCTTTTTGATGAAGTCTTCTTTTCCTTTGGGTAGACAGTGGGATTACTGGATCGAATGGTAGGCCTATTTTTAATTCTTTGAGGAATCCCCATACTGTTTTCCATAAGGGTTTTACTAGTTTGCAGTCCCACCAACAGTGTATAAGTGTTCCTTTCTCTCTGCATCCACGCCAGCATTTATTGTTTTTGGATTTTTTAATAAAAGTCATCCTAACTTGGGTAAAGTGATATCTCTGTTTTAATTTGCATTTCCCTGATGATTAATGATGTTAAGCATGTTTTCATGTTTATTGGCCATTTGTCTTTTTTCTTTTGAGAAGCTTCTGTTCATGTCTTTGCCCACTTTTTAACAGGGTTGTTTTTTTCTTGCTGATTTGCTTGAGTTCTTTGTAAATCCTGAATATTAGCTCTTTATTGGATGTGCAGCTTATGAATATTTTCTCCCATTCTGTAGGTGGTCTGTTTGCTCTGTGGATTGTTTTCTTAGCTGTGCAGAAGCTTTTTAGTTTTTTTTTTTTTTTTTTTTTGAGACAGAATCTCACTTTGTCACCCAGGCTAGAGTGAGTGCCGTGGCGTCAGTCTAGCTCACAGCAACCTCAATCTCCTGGGCCCAAGCAATCCTGCTGCCTCAGCCTCCCGAGTAGCTGGGACTACAGGCATGCACCACCATGCCCGGCTAATTTTTTCTATATGTATTAGTTGGCCAATTAATTTTTCTATTTATAGTAGAGACGGGGTCTCGCTCTTGCTCAGGCTGGTTTTGAACTCCTGACCTTGAGCGATCCGCCCGCCTCGGCCTCCCAGAGTGCTAGGATTACAGGTTTGAGCCACCACGCCGGCCAGCTTTTTAGTTTAATCAAATCCCATTTATTAATTTTTGTTGTTGTCATGATTGCTATTGGGGTCTAAGTCATAAATTCTTTGCCTAGGCTGATATCTACAAGACTTTTTTCCTACATTTTCCTCCAGAATTCTTA